GGGGTTGGGGTTCTGCGAGCTCTACGAGGTCTACGAGGGTCCAAAATGGGGCAGGCGCACCCACTTTTAAAACATGGCCGTCCGCTTCCGCCGCAAAGTGACACCAATGGAAATGGTCGTGGAAATGAATACCCAGCTGTCCGCGGTTCGCCGTGGGCAACTTTATTTTGTATTTATTTCATTATCCGCGTCGAGCTCTTGATTTGCGTAATTAGTCGAGCAAATAGCTACAAGCTTTTGTTTTGATTTTTCCTGCCGACCAACATTGCTACGAATTAGCCCTGTAATTGAGGTAATTTCTTTTGTCCTTTTTCCGTCTTGCCTGAGGTCCTGGGACGATGATGGGTACACTGGGGGGAAATCAAGGGATAAGTTCAAGAAACGGTTTTTAGATAATATCTAAGATTATAATATTCCAGTTAAAAGTTTGTAAAATGAATTCATATTTTTAATATGTATAGGAATTTCACTGAACTTTAAAATTAATCCTTGTTTAAAAATAGTAAAAAATAATTTATTAAGAATTTAGAACGCCTCATTTTCTCAATTCTCTATTTTAAGCATAGGCTTAACTTCTATCAAAAATCCATTTAAAATTAAAGTGACGAGGGAACATTTTTAAAGGTAACATATTTAATTTTCATAACTTTAGGGAGATCTACATATTTATGTTGCCTTTATCAAGATTTACTATCGATTCAAAAATCTTGTTTGAGGTCTTGATTTTTCTTTTCGTGCTTGTAACTTGAGAGGAGTTCCTCCTGATTTCGTCTTTTTGCGGCTGTTTGGGGTTTGAATCTGGCTTCTGGCTTCTGGCCCGGCTGCCTCGAAACTAGCCGAAAGCCAAAGCGGCTTTCTCTCAATTGCCGCTGTAAACATGAAGCCCATTAGAAGTGATTTGAGCTGGCAACTTGGGGAAGCCCCTGAAGAGTCCTCCTCATAATTTGCAGGGCTCGGCTGAAAGTAAACTTAATTGAAAATCATTACTGCTGGCAAGTGGAATCGGCTAAAAAAAACCAAAGAGAGAGAGTGGCTCTCGCCCACCTGGCTATTGATTTCCACACCTGATGCACCCTTGGCCGCAGCGAAAGAGGTCAACTAAATGTTAATGTCACACACACACACACACACAGCCATCCGTGTTGCATTCTCTGTCTGAGGCGGTTGGGTTGCAGTTGCACCCTCGAAAAGAAATCACAGTCTGCGCACGGGTCACCTGCCCAAGGGGTCAAAGTTTGTGGGGAAAGCTTAGTCCAACCGCCCGGTAAAAGCGAAATGCGAAAGCAAAACGAGCACAAGGGGTGGGCATTCTATACCAAACCATATACCATACCATTTAGTGCAAACTGGCATTTTAGAACGGTGAGAACAACGCATTTCGTGGGGCTTACGTTTAACACCAAAGTTCAGTGGGTGCGTGGGAAGCTTAAAAGAGGGTAAATGAAAAAACCCAATGAATCAATCACATTCGAGAGACAAAAGCAACTTTGGCCAATTACATTCGGCTTGTTTTGACAAGTCCAAGTAAAACACAAAAAAAAACTGGGGGAAACTCACCCCAAATAACTGTCCTCGATGCGAATATAGAACACATTATAACGAAAAGTGTTTCGTCTTGCCAGCATAAATAAATAAAATGTATTTATAAAGATGCTTTTAAGCCAGTAAGTTAACAAGGTTACACACACATATACACGGAGAGAAAAATACTATCGGGCTTGGAAAAATAAAACATCTAAACCTTTTTTGTTTTTTTAATATACGCACAGCGAAATCCACTTAAAAATACTATTAAAATATATTTTCTATTAATTTTTATAAATGAAAAATGGTCAATTAGACAAAATGCCAGTACAGATATAAAGATGTATAATATTTTATTTAGGAAGTAGTAATATTATTTTGGCTCATAAGATTTTATAAACGTAGTTCAGTGGAGACATTTTCTTGAATCCAGTGTATCTTTATATATGTATACGCGGCAGGCAGGGTTGAGTGGGCCAAATTCTTAACAGCTGTTGTCAGTTATGGGGTTGTTAAGGGTCGCCAGCCTCCTTGATTTTCCCTCCCTGCCCCCGGCGAACTTTGATGCTTCAACTTTCTTAGGCTGAACAACTTTTGGCCGTCGGCAAAATGGTAAATGCCTAATGGCCTCTTAAATTCGGCCCGCATTTCGGCGTCTTGGAATGGGGCCTTTCCACGTCTTGATTTTCTGGCAATCATCAGAATGCATAATTGATGGCGTTATTAACCAATATTTCTCGATTCTCCTTGCAGACTGGGCTTCATCTCGCAGTGGGGAGCGTTGGCTGGTCGCTATGCCGCCCTGTGTCCGCCCGGATGGCCCTGGGCCCCCCAGCGCCTGCCCTTCCACAGTCCCACCCATGGTAAGTTGATTAAAAGCAGCCAACGGAGTTACCGACTTTCCCCAGCTTTCCCCGGCTTTCCCGCAAATTTAGACGTTCGAATTCGAACGGAACCGAACCGAACTGAACTGAACTGTACTGAGCACATGCCACAGCGGCTTAGCACCCGTTGCATCCGCCTTTTTATTTACGCCAGGAATGTGATGGGTCAGCCATTCCTCGCAGTACACTGGACGAAAAGTAGTGTATAGTTTATAGACTCATTGGGACTAAAAAAATAGTATAATATTGGGAGAAACAACTGTATTATAAAAAATTATTATTCTTAAAGCAATTTTTTAACACATCTGATATACATTTTGTTGATATACAGGCGAACCAAAATTCGTAGTCATTTTAAATAGCAACTTTCCTTTATGTTACTTTTATTTTTTTGAGAAAAGCGCGTAACTAATCTTAATGTAATACCCTTAAAACAAAGTAAAGTTTTTGCAATCAAAATCGAAAAATTAATACTTATTTTTCTGTTCTTTTATCAACGGTTTATCAGCTTGTTCAAGTTTTAAATAATCTTTATCACCTGATTGAATTGTTTCTATAAATCTCTTTTCGAAATATTTAGCCTTGCTTTTGTGCACATAGTAAAAACAGATCTCTACGGCTTGTAGTATTAGAGATAGGGAAAATATATAAATTCTGGTGATTCCTTGCATACTTATTTTTGGGTTCCCAGAAGTTGAGTAGGTTTTTTGTGAGTGCTCTGGAATGCCGATGCTTTCGACTCAGAGTTAAGTTGTTGAGTCGACGGCAGCGGCTAATGCCTCAAAGAATTTCGCCCCAGAAGCAGACTAGGCAAATGTCTTAAGCTCACCCACACACCCATGAAATGGAAGCCAAGTGAGACGACTGCTTTAATCGTCATTTGCAATTAATTACAATTTGTAATCGAGTATCGAGTTACGGACAAAGCGTTTGACATGTTTCGCAGTTGAGTGTAGAGTGCAACTGCAACTGCAATTGCAACTGAAACATCGGTGAGTGCAAGAGTGCAATTTAAGCCCGTTTAATTGGCCCCTTTGGCATTAAGAGTCGCTGCAATTGCATTTGTTCATGTAAATTGGCCTTAAGTTCTTCACCTTCGCCTCGGCTGCCACTCCATTTATCCACAATCCACTATCCTCACGGCCAGTTGAAAGTTCTCTGTGCTATTAAGAGATTTAATTTTTTTTCTGCTGCCCGAAATCCATTCAAGGCAAATTACGGCAATTTAAACTTTTCAAATGAGATCAAAACTAAAAGCTTCGATAAAAAGAAAATCGGCCAAGCTGACTGACAGCCATTTTAAATGGTAATTTAATGCGCAGACAGAGCAGGGATTGCTATGCTATATTATACCGGGTATGGGTATGGGCATGGTATGGGTTTATACCTATATATATATATGGATATATATACGTATATACACTCTCGGCGTCTGCGCTTTGGGAACCCACACAGCAATCACAGAATGACACAAAAAATATAAAAAAAATGAAAAGCTGGGGCGACAAGTGTGAGGTTAAGTGTTGCAGCTTAAATCTCTGCACACAGATACATAGATACAGTATCTTGGAGCAGCAACCCTTAGGAGGAACCACCCCAAAAGCCACCCCAAAGCCACCCCAACCACCCACTGAGACTGACAAATCAACTAATACAATTTAAGCTCTCCGCTCTGCCAGGCTCTCTCTTTCTAACCGCTTCTCTCTCTCTCTTTCTCTCTTCTTGCAGACAGCTCCTCCACGAACACTACCGAGAATCCCCCCTCGCCCACTTCCATGAGCCCGAACAACAACAACAACAGCAACAACACTGCCAACTCGAACCAGGCCAGCAAATCGCCCTCGCACCACCCACTCCACACCCTCTACCACCCCCACAATCCGCAACAGCAGCAGCAGCAGCAACAGCATCCGCAACAACAGCATCCACAGCAGCAGCAGCAACAGCATCCACAGCAACAACAGCATCCCCACCAGCCCACCACGCCCACCAGCAGCAGCAGCAGCGGCGGAGGCGGCAGCAGCAGTCTCGCCCACCATACGCATCCGCATCTGGCCGGCTCACATGGCGGATACTTGCTGCCGGGCAGCTCCAATGAATCGGACGACGAGGGCGAGGAGATCATCGAGGAGGATGACGGCACGGATGGACCCTCCGATAGCTCCTCGCCCCATGGCGATGGCAATTCGAAGAGGAAGAAGAAGACGAGGACCGTATTCTCGCGTGCCCAGGTCTTCCAGCTGGAGTCCACCTTTGACCTCAAGCGGTATCTCAGCTCCTCGGAGCGAGCGGGTCTGGCTGCCTCCTTGCGTTTGACTGAAACGCAGGTGAAGATCTGGTTCCAGAATCGCCGCAATAAGTGGAAGCGCCAACTGGCCGCCGAACTGGAGGCTGCCAACATGGCCAACATGGCGCATGCGGCCCAGAGATTAGTGCGGGTGCCGGTGCTCTACCACGATGGCACCACCGCCGGATTTGTGCCCCCACCACCGCCGCACCACCATCCCATGCAGTACTATGCGGCGGCACGGAACACCAGCCCGCCGCGTCCGCCGCTCTCCTCGCTGGTATAGGGAGTGGGGGGGTGCCTGGCGGCGCCCATGTCGCTGCTGAAGCCGCCCAATCCCATGGCCACCCATCCGCCGCAGCCGCCCCTGCCGCGCCACCCCTTCCTGGGCTGCGAGCCCCTGGCGGAGATGGAGGCGGATATGGACTCCGATTCGGAGCAGGAGCGCCCGCCACTGGACGACGAGGATGCCGCCATCGATGTGGAGGCGGATGAGGAGCAGGAATCCCAGGAATCGCCAGGAATCACATCGAAGGGCAGCCTTTGCCTGGACAGCAAGGAGCATCTCGGCCAGCACAAGGAGGCAGCTGCTCCTGCCGCGGACAAGTCCGCCAACCAAAAGGCCTACTGAGCCCAAATCCAACCAAGTGGCTGCACGGGGCAGGAAAGCCTTCTAAGGGGAAAATATTGAAGAGTTCTAGAAATTGTATATCATGCTTTAAAAATATTCCAAAAGGAATCTTTAATATTTGAGAACTATACGAAAGATATTTCAGCTGTTCCAAAGTTCTATTTCAAGAACTTAAGGTGGTCTATTCCCACTCCGTGCAAGACCACATCAATTGGTTTCAAAGTTTTTATGATAGTTTGTTCCTAAAAAATCCCCTGTAAATACCAAACAACTCAAGCTCCTTGTAAATTTAAATGTCTATTGCTCAATAAGTTTAGGCTTTAAAAGAATACCCACACCATGTACATATATACCGATCACAAGTGGATAGTGTGGGGCGCTTGATTTCTAGTATCGTTTTTGTTTTGGCTTTTGAATCTTTAAATTGCTGGTCAAGTTTAGGTTAAGTTCGATATGCTAAGCCGGGATCCCTTTGGGCCAGGGCAATCAATGTTAGTATAGTGCTATTCGTAAGATGTGTGTCAAGCAATTACCAAATAATTAGTTAAATTATTTATACTTTTAATCGAATGTTAACATAATCCAAACTTCAACCGAAACCAAACCAAACTCATAAACGTACACACACATTCACAGACATGAAATGCTTATAAATATACAAATAACAAATTATATATATAAAGATATTAATAAATTATATAAACATATAGAAAAAACCAAAACTAAATGGGTGTTTTTATTTAAATGCTTTAAGCTGTTTAATGAAAGGCTCTTAACTCTTTTATATTGATGATTGTGTGGTCTATTTAGGGGTTAACTTTTAACATTTAGTTAGAGATTTTTTACTTGTAAAGGGTCATACAATTTTCAATATTTTTTAGTATTCGGTTCGGATATTTTATTGAATAGCCTTCAGATATTTTTTATAAGTCAGAGGTTGAGTTATCTGAAGGTTAACACTTCTGTGGGTTATAAAGTTTCTTACTTCTTTCAGGTTTTTTCATTTAAATAAAGGTATAGATATTTTATTGAATATCTTTCAGATATTTCTTATTAGTCAGAGGTTGATTTATATGAAGGTTAACATTTCTGTAGGTTATAAAGTTTCTTACTTCTTAAAGTTTTTTTTCAGAATGGTTAATGTATGTAGGGTAAATATTTGTATCGACTCCTGAGCTGAAGTTAAAGTGCCCACTTTGCTCTGATGAGTTTTTTACTGATCCCAACCCCTCGGTTCAGATGCAGTCGACCTTTGGGAGCATCTGTCCAGATATATTGTCTCTGCATCGAGTCTTCGTCCTCGTATCTATGCGTTGTACAGCAATTTGCTGGCATTTGATACAAATGTTTTTCCATGGATTTATCCCGCCCATTCTGCATTCTGATTTCTGCCTACCGACGGCAAGCGCTTATTTGCGTTTAATTGCCAACGCAAATAAACCCGTATGTGCAGCATATAGCACATATAGACCCGGCTATAACAATACCGGTAGAACAGAACAGAGCCGAACAGCTTTTGCCACAATTGCTGCAATGCATGTTGGTGCTTTTTGCTTTTTGTTTGGATTTTTACTTGCATTGCAGGCGTTTTAAGTTGCCATTTATTGTGCAGTTTGTTGCAATTTAGTCGCGTCGAGCCCCCATTTCCTGGCCCTCTGGTCCTTTGGGCCATCGCCATCGCCATCGCCACTTTCGAGTTTCATTCTGGGCTCCGCATCGCGTGTTAAATTGCAAAAATAAATTGCGAATTGTGCGCCGCAAATAAATGGCAATAAAAATGCATAAAATGCTTTTTTCGCTATGCCTAACAAGCGGTGGCGTCGAGTTTGAATTACCAAACCATTGGGCCCCCGACTGTGATTCAGTGGATATATCTTATATGTGTAGCAGACTATATGCATAATTATAGGCGATTGTGTGGAGTGTTGCATTTCACACGACTGCGCATAAATGGAGGGCGTTAAAAACATTCTGTTTTTATTGTACGAATAAATGTATGGCCGTTTGATGCGCTTATTTCGCAGGCAATCGTTTGTTTATTGGCTTGTATTTCATCTGGCCGAAGGCCGGATTTGGCTGGCACTTTAAGGATTGCCTGTTTTCTGGCTTTCTGAGAGTTGTGTAATCAAAGGTTGGCAGCCACAATATCGGATAAAGCTGCTGCCGTGGATTAGGCTTTCCGTTTTCGTCCTCAAAATGAATTTCGTCACAATGGCACATTGTCCACTTTGGGACCCCCGATGATAAAAAGCCAAAAAAAGAAAGGGGTTCAGCCTTGCTATTTCTGTTTCCAGCCATTTCTTTTTTTGTTGGTTGTGCAAGCCAACTGTACAAATTAGGTAACCTTTTATTCGACGTTCCTCATCCTGCCATCGGAAGCCCTCCGCAAAATTTTTGTATGGATGCAGTCAAGTGCTTGAGCATTTTATTTAAGCGCATGAATGGATTTGATGGCTTTCCTTCGCTGAATGCGAAATCTGGCCCCAAAAAAAAGGAGCAGAGCGAAAAAATATTCCAATTCATCTCATAAAATGCCTCAAAATTGTAGCGAAATTATAAAAATTGCCTGCCCCCAGACAACGAGCACTTTGGTTGGCTGCTTTTTGCTGCTTTTTAGATGCTTTTTTGATGCTTTTTGGCTGCTTTCCATGAATGCAGCCTCGCTTTTGGCTGGTCCTTTTGGGCCACATTTGCTCATATGTAAAGTGAATTGTTTGGGCGGATTTGGGGAGTCTGTGTGAGTGGCTGGCTGGATTATGAGATCGCTCTTTTTTCTAGGGTAGTGAAATTAGGCTATGGCAAGTCAGTTGTACGGATAAAATATCTTATATTTAAAAGTATAATATTAAAATGTATGCCATGTTTTTTCACGACTTATCAATTTACTTCTATATGGGTTTAAACTTTGAAAAAATATCTCAAATTCTTTTTATATGATTATTATAGGTTAATCCCTTATTCGATTCATTTTTCACTGCCTCTTTTTATTCCTTATTTTTTGTAACTTTTGAGCTTTTTTTGTTAATTTCATTTTCCGTTCTCATATGTGAAGTGGTTTTTGCAAATAGCAGCCACCCAAAACGAGAATGGGGGCCAATTTTGAGGGCTGGTTTTGGCGCTTTTGGCAGACGCTGTTTTGCCTGCAGTAATTTCTTAATTAGCTTGCGAACACAATGTGCTTATATACCATATAGTATGGGGCTTTGTGCATATATTTGAGAGTCCCGGGAGTGGTGGTGGTCCACCATTTGCCGAAGCCAAGCGGCCGGGTACTTATTTTAATTGCAGCCTTTTTGGGCATGAAGTGGCGCAGCTTGGCGCACTATTTGCATAAGTACTTATGTATAAATATTTCTGCAGATATGAAGGAGATTAAGAATTGATATACACCTATTTTTTTATTTGTTCTTAAATAGGGCATAAGTACTATTTTAATTATGATTATAATAAGGATTTATTTAAATTTAAAATATAAAAATGTAAAATGTAACCTTTTTCAGCTGTATTGCCATTACTTTTTCGGATTTGGTAATGACTACCGCCTACCGATTACTATGATCCATAATTTGACAGCTTAAAGGATGTTATAGATGAAATATACATACATAAATTAAGAATGCCTATCGATATTTAATTTTCTTCTTTTCTTTTCTTTTAAAATAAGTTATATACTTTAATTTAACTTCATAAGAAGATTCGAATCACTTAAAACAAATTTAAATTTAAAAGGCGTACTTTCTTATGTTCATAATTTTGTAATTTCCGGTAGTTTTTTACCCTTACTTCCTCCGTTTTTTATTGATATCACCACTTCATCCGTATAGATTTTTATGATCCTCAGTTTTGACAGCTCAGAGGACGCACATAAATGTAATTGGGCAGTGTGCTTCGCTCGACATGTTTTCTGCCTCACTAGCCATTATGTTTATCTATTTTCGTTGACAGTTCAATTAAGTACAATGGCCAGAACAGTTAAATTACGCTTAAAAAAAGGACTCGCACACACAAGGATTGCCATTTTTGTGGTTCGCTTTTTGCCGTTTGCTTTGGAGTGTCAGTTCGGACATTATAATGCCTTTCGCTCTTTGTACTTTATTATCCATTTAGCACATTTATTTTTATTTCCCATTCGGCGGCGCCTGCTGTTGTGGTTGCTGCCAGTGTCCTCGCATTATCCTTGTTCCCTGCAACCCTGCTCCTTGCCTCCTTTTTCCTGTTTCAGTCGTTATGGCCGCTGGTCAGCCCGCAAATGTGGGCAATTTTTGCTCATCGCGATGTCCCTTTTTTATGGACTTTATTTTTTACCAGCTGTGTGTGAGTGCCTCGTGTGCATGTGTTTTAGTGCGTAGTTGTCCAGGAGGGGGGTGCCATTGCTGTCACCATAATAGGCTCATCAGCGTTGCTTCTTTTTTATTGTAATGCCGCTTTTATTTGCGATTGAGGTGCTTTAATCAACTGACAGTTGTGTAGCTGCGGATGTTTTATGGCCCTAAATGGCAGCGAGGATATTAAGGACAACAGTATTGGTTCCAAATTGTCATCATCGGTTTTTCATGTAATACACATTCTACTGGGCTGCAAGATTTCCAAAAAAATTGTATTAAGTTTCACAAACGAATATTAAAAACATTTATCAAATGAGAAATAATATTGAATATGTTACGTATGTAGATTGATCATAAGGAATATTTTATTTTACATAAGTATATTGAATAAAATATTCTGAGTAGGATTGACAAGCCTTTAACGTTGACGTAGAAACGATATTTGCTAAGTATTCTCTTAAAAATATTTTGATTTTCTCACAATTTAACTGCTTGTTAGTATACTGATTAAGTTATTAATATTGATTTAATGAAACCATCTAGCAGTATATAAAAAAATATTAGTTTTAAGAATAACTCGCCTTAAAATTTTAATGTTTTAACATTAAAACAAGGCTTTTACAAAGACCTTATAAAGCTATGATTATAATTAACACTTTTTTTGGTTTTTGGGTTATAGATGTGATGTGTGGTATGAGTTCTTTATAAAATCGATTTTTTATTTACAGGAAAATTCATTTCAACACTTTAGATAAAGTAACAAAACC